GTCAGTGAGGCTCGTCCACTGAAGAAACATTCCCTGTGAAGTATACAGTATACATAACCTGTGTATCACATCAATGAAGTTAAAACTTAATATATGGTTTTATTTCATCATGATATGATCATGATAATCTCCTGATATGGTCATGAGTCATGATACTCTCCTGATACGCTCCTGATACGCCCCTGATACTCTCCTGATACGCCCCTGATACTCTCCTGATACGCTCCTGATACGCTCCTGATACGCTCCTGATACGCTCCTGATACGCCCCTGATACTCTCCTGATACGACCCTGATACTCTCATATAGTTACATAACGTGTGTATTACATAACGAGCGAGGCCGTGCAAACTTATGTGCCTTTCTTTTCGTTCCACTGCACCCCAACGCAATGCTTTGTAAATGGCTATCAACTTCGCTGCTGCTGCATTGAAAAATACAACATGCAACCTCGGGTTTTGAAATCAAAATGGCTGGGAGAGTCCTCAGCTCTAACAATGCCCCGTGCTCACTTGAAGGCAGCTGCAGAATCCATTTGTGCCTTGATGCGCTGAGTCGCCTCATTGACCACCTCAATGTGTTTCTCAATGTCATCAAGCACTGGCTGGATTGCTCCCGTGCCAGACTCCAACTTCTCCTCCGCATTATGGGTGACGGTCATCATTTCGCCCAAGACCTTGTGGCCAGCATCCAACACATACTTTGGAATCATGTCACCAAAGCGGTTTGCTCGATCAATGTGATCCTTGAGCACCGCAGACTTGGCAACAGCAGCCTCGATCTTTTTGGTCAATTTCTTTTTCTCACCAGCTTTCAACTTTGGTTCATTGGAGTCATCCTTCCCTTCGGCCTTTCCTTTGGCCTTGCCCTTGTTGCCCCTTCCCTTTTTGGGCAGTGGTTCATCAGACTGGGCATCATCTTTCAAAGCTGCTTGGCCTTTGCGCTTGTGAGAGGTGCCATGTTCGATCGCATCTTGAACTTTTGACTTGTAGCTAGGGTCTGCGTACAATGTCAGCTTCTTGATGGGGCAGAAGAACCTCTTCCCATTGAGAATGATGTTCTCTGCAATCTCAGGTTTGTCCACATATTTTTTCCTGAGCGCATCTTCATCCAAGTACTCCGCCTCTTGGTTAAACTCAATCCGTGTGGTGGAAGTCTTCCAATCTTGCACAACTTCCTCAACCTTCACACGGAGGTCATCACCTCGCAAGTGGCCATGGTCCTTGTAGAAAGCCTCCAACTTGCTCCCAGACACTTTGGAGAAGTCTTTTACCAAAGATCCATGGTTCTTGGTCAAGCGATTGATGGCACTCCTGACATTATGGCAGCTGCGGCATCGTCGAATATCAGGACTCTTGCCATTGGCCCGCACAATGACCAAGCTGTTCTCATAATCCACAGGTTTGCGACAAGTGCAGCAATGGTTCTCAGCAATTTCTTCTTCTGTCTGCAGCATGGCATCACCAACCTTGTCTCCTACTTCTGACGCTGAGCTGGGAGCAACAGATTCAGCCGTCATACTGTAGAGGCGAGCCTTCACAGTCTTTCTTTTGAGGTAATGCCTTCAAAGTCTAGGGTTTTTTCTTGCAGAGCCAAACAGCATTCATCAAATTAATGTGAAACAAATTTCAATTATATAATGTGAAAGGCCAACACTCAATCCTGATAATTTCTCGGATGCCAAAAGCATAAGCATGCAATAACCCTTTTCCCCACGTCGCGTCGCATCATTTGAGTAGCGCATGAATTACACCTTGGGACCTCAAGGTATAAGCCACAGTCTGAAATTCTGACTGCCAAACCAACAAACCTTCTGAGGAAGATCCATCAAAAGAACCCTGCCCAGAGTGCTTGTGGCAATTGGCTAAACACATAAAGGTTATTCGTCGAGACAATATGTCAGTCACTTCCAAAAACTTCGTCGGGAAGAACAACTGCCCCTGGTCTTTGTCCCAGACAGCATCGTGAAGAGATACCAGTCCTCTAGAAGACATAAGTTTGTTGCCCATTCTCACAGACACCTTCTTGCCCAAATTCTGTCCCAACATGTCGTCCCACTGCGAAGCATCCCTTCCTTTTCCTTCTAGGAACGTCTCTTGACATATCTTTTGATCATTGAAGTTTTCCAAGCACTCATTTCCAATACGCATGGCCAGATTCACTTGCAAGAACTGGTTGTGCACAAAGGCAGCCACTGTCTTGGCACATCGATGTTTCCTTTCTGGATTGAAACAAGCAAGACTGCGACCAATCTTCCCAATGTTTTCGGGCACATGGAAAAGCCAATGAAATTTTGGTTTTGCGCATTCACTGTAAAGCTTGTCGAACAACTTGTTGTGTCGTGCAATCTTCTGTTTCAATTCATGTTGAAACTGATGGGCAGCAGTTCCGCCTGATAAGATGCCCAAGATGCTTGCTACAAGTTCAAGGCATTCTCGGTGATCTTGCAAAACACCCAAAGGTTCCAAAACAATTCGGTTGAAGAGGACCAGCGTGTCCACCACCAGCAGGGTTTCACCAGCAAATGCTTTTAGAACTGTATTGTCCTCCCAATTTACACGTTCCTGAAAGAACTTCTTGGGCAACCGTTGGTGTTTTTTTGGAAAAGTAACTTGCGTCGCAAAAGCGTCCAACTGTCCTGGCAAAATCCCTTGTTCTTTGAGTACTTTGACATACTCATTGCATTCGTATTGGCACACCCCTCCACTGGCAACCAAGATGTGCATCCAATCATAGACAGTCTGTCGCACCGGGCAAACTTTGTCCCGCAGTGTGGGATGCCAGAGAATTCCAGTGCTTTTGAAAGTCAACCCATACACCTGCCCCAACTTCTGGCAATTTTGCTTGTTCCCAGAAACGTTTTCCAGCTTGTCACGCATTTCTGTAAATGTAGACGAGGTGTGCTTTGCAAATCTTCGTGGAGATGAGCAGCTGTAGTGGACCAACCATGCATTGTCCTCGACCTTGTCTCGGGTCATGTGTCCCACCACATTCTGGCAAAAGCAACATGGCTTCGTCCCGCTGGCACCTCTCAGTGACCACAATGCTGTGATGGATTTTTCATCAGACAGCACAGCTTCAAAATTTCCTTTGCAAAGGAACATGCCCCCTGAAGACAGGCATGGGAATCCTGTCGTGAAATTCACTGGCTCTTCTTTTTCCAAAAAAAATTCCACCATCCGTGCAAACAAATAGCTATAGCCATCAGTCACGTCCCCAATCAGGTTAACTGGAAAAGCAGCAAAGTAGAACCAACCTTCATTTCTTCCAATATACCAGTCGGGAAGGTCCAACAGGGTCCAATACCACATAGCCACACTTTTTCCATGATCAGGTCGAAGCACGTTTCCTGGTGTTATTTCGTCCATATATATGATAACCCGTTGTGTTTCTACATGCCGTAGAAGGTCACCAAACTCTGGACGCCGTTTTGAGAATGCATGCAACAGAGCACAAGGGTGCAAGTAGTGCCAACTGACGCTGTTTGCGTTGTCCAAGTCAATCTTCATGGATCTCAAGATGGGGCCACACATGCCACCCTCCTCCACCAAAACATTTGTCATCTCGTCCCTGATTCGCTTTCTTTGATGAGAAAAAGACCCAGATGCTTCCCCTGACATGTGGGCTTCAGCTGAAATGGAAACAGACAAGTGCTGCCGTTTCTTGCCGCATGTCTCTTCATACAATCTCTTTACCACCATGACCAAACAGATAAGAGAGGCGAGCCTTCTCAATATCTGCATATGGCGAGCCTTCTGCATATGTGGTTTGAGCACTGAAAATGGCTACGGAGAGATATGGTCAGATTCATCACAAACAATCCATTGAATCATGTGCTGGTTTTGCATACTTTTGACTGGCTGTTCTTGTGCATTCTCCGCAGCATTTTTACTCTTCCATCAATGCCGTTATTCCAAATCCAATGAAGGGCGAGCCTCTTCATTTGGAATCCAAAGTGCCATCC